TATGTGAGGAGACTTGAAGCACTTACTGATCAAGATCAAAGACTATCATCTTCAGTATGGATTACACCTCTACACCAAATGCTCACAACTAGACCAATAAGCAACATCACGATAAATGGAGAAAAGTCCGAAATTGTTAGGGATTTCTTTGTACTTGGATCCACGATCAATACTCATGGAAGCAGCAGTCAAGAAATCAGACATTCTATTGTTGTTATGTGCTGTGGAGTCGGACCCGACTCATAGTGACCCCTGCTTGGGTTTCCGAGTTAGTATCACTACGGAAGTACATTGCCCAACCTTCCTTCCGAGGAGTGGCTGGGGGGTTTGAACTGCCAGACCTTTGATTAGCAGTCAAGTGCCTTAGGCCCTATGCTACCAGAGCTCCTAGACATCCTATTACACAGCGCAAATCTGCAAAACATCTCTTTAAAATGTCGAAGAGCAAAGATGTCACACTGAGGACTAAAGTGAGTCTGACAAAAGCTATGATATTTTCAATTACCTCATATGCATGTGGAAGCTGGACAATAAGGAAGACAGAAGAAAAGCTGCTGCCTTTCAGTTATGATGTTGGTGAAGAATACTGAAAATACCATGGACTGCCAGAAGGAGGAACAAATCTGTCCTGAAGAAGTGCACAATGGCTTAGAACGGACTAAGGCCTCCTCTCACCTGTTTTGGCCATGTTTGTCATACGGGATCTGGAGAAGCATATCATGCTTGGTAGAAAATCAGCAAAAAAGAGTAAGCTCCTCAAGGAGATGAATGGACATAGTGGCTACGAGATGGGCTCAAGCACAGAAGAAGTTGTGAAAATGGCGTTTGACCAGGCATTGTTTCCTCTGTTGTACGTAGGGTCCCCATGAGTTGGAGCAGACTGGACAGCACCTAACAACCAGAGTTGGAATTGACGCCCAGGCATCCAAGAATACTAGATATTCTTACTGGAAAATTTAACTAAATCATAAAATCTAAGTCCTGGCTCTGTTAATTTCCTTAATAAAATCTACTTTAGGTAGGTGTTGTGAACGTAAAAAATTTATTTATCTACGTCCTTTAGTAATTCAGAAGGGCACTTTCCCCTCAAGATACTTCCTCGCAAAACTCAATACCAGTGCTTTTTCTGGTCAGTGCGAATCCTCCCCCTCCCACTTGCAGGCCTGGAGACAAGGTTAAACGTGGCGGAAAGCCAATTATGGCCTCTCAGACTGAGTCTTGACACACAGCTGTTGTTATTTGCCGTTGAGTCGGCCGACTCATGGCGAGC